GTGCATAAAAAGAACGTTGAAATCTGTCTTCGTATGAGGAAGCTATGATTTTTCTAACTTTCAGCTTAGCAGTATGCAACCCAAAGTTTAAATTAAAAATCGAGAGATTTCTAGCTGAAACAATCTAAACAAAAATCGAAGATATCTTCGATTATAATGCAACGGTAAAAAGACAGACGAAAATGGACTTCAGATGAAGGAGTTATGAATTTATAACAGAGTTTTCCTGTCCCGGCCTACTAGAAATAATATAATAAAAGTTAAATCAAAATTAGCCAACGAAGTCTAAACGAGAGTTGTAGAGCATAGTCTCACCTACGTGTGGATATAAAGAACATCAAAAACGGAGCTTGTATGCGAAAGATACGGATTTAAGAAGTTTGGAAATGTGGAGTACGCCCAGCGTACTCATGGTTCATGGTCTGGGTGGGCCACGTTGCCCTACTCCAACACTCGAGTGCCTCGTGTCCGAAGTCGTGACGAATCTGGTCTGATCCAACCAGTACACCCAACGTACTAGGCGTATGTCCCGCATACATGTTGACGAAGTAGTACTCCCCGCGTACCTGAGATTACGCCCAACGTAATCTGATGCTCAACACCCTATAAATAGAAGTTGAAGGCCAGCCGAGTTTTGTTGCTCAATTTCTTTCCTCTCTCCCACATTACCTCGATTTACGTGCAAGTTATACCCCGAAAGCCCCGGTATCATCCCGAGACCCGAAGCGAGTCCTGAAGCCCCAAAGATCCCGAGAAGAAAAGAGTTTTGAGTTGAAGCTCTTCCCGCAAGAAGCCCGGTGTGTGAAGAGATCACAGTTTCGTCGAAGAATTTCTACTTGAAGAGACATAGTGTTGTCCGATAATCATCTTAGCAAGTGAGTGTATAGTCTCTTTCATAAACACGATGTTAATACAAGTATTGTTTCAATGTATTAAGTATATGTTTTGAGTGAGTATATATTCCTTTTCTTCTAACACATAGATATGAATTATTCACTATAAAATACGTGCTATGTGTTTATATATTGTCTGTTCATTTGGAATGAGTTGTGAATGAATATTTTATACAAGTTTAAGTTGTGTATGAATGTGTGTGTGTGTGTGTGTGTATATATATATATATATATATAATCTACAAATATGTTGGGTGAGACATGGGTAGATAGTTGATGTGTGATAAAAGATGAGAGGCCTCAATGTTTATGTTGTTGATCTAGTCGTCTAGTGGAGTACGGATGACGACCACAGACTCTTTCTAGACAGTCCCAGTGGAACGTTGGCAGGTTCATAACCTGTAGGTGTTATGAACGATGTGTTCAACGGTATACTCTATCCCCCTCATGGTTTCCTTTAGGACATTTATTGTTGAGGAAGCCCCTTTGCAGCAGTGTCCATCCCGATGAAAAATCCTAGATTAGGTCTCATTGTAATAGTTGTTTTAGGGACGTAAAGTGAGGATAACGGGAATGGGTAATCAGGTTATTGTTGGTTGATGAAATTAAAATAATTATTTATTGTGGGTTGAAAACCCTATATGCTCAGCAAACTCCCAAGCCTGACCCACTCAGTTTCTTTGGATTACAGGTAGTGGCGCGAGGGCATAAGTTGGACAACTTGTGAAGATATTTTGTTTATAGACCAATAGTTGTAAATAACTGTTGTAAGGTCTATGTTGTACTGTTTATGCTTTTGGTCTATATCAGAACATGAAATCCTGAGTTTTTGTTATATCATGCAAATACATTTCTTTAATAAATGCTTTGATAAACTTCATTTTATCATATTTTGTTTTAGGAACAAATTCTGCAACTCTTTTAATAAAATGATTACTCTGAAATTACTTTAAAAGCATAAATTAAACCGGTCTTTTCTGGCCATGAATTTGGGGATGTCACATGTATGGTATGTGGTATTATAGGTAACTCACTTTGCTTTGTGCTTACGGTTTTTAGTTTATGTTTCAGGTACTTCTGTTTTCAAAAGGAAGGTCTCGACTTGATCGCAACACATCTGCCTATGTTTCCGCATTATGATGATTTTTGGATTGTACTCTGATAACTGTTTTCTTACGAAGTACATCTGAATATTTGGCAAACTAGTATTTAATATTGACTTAAATATAATTAATGTTTTGGTTGAATTAAAATCGAAATTTTTACCTCATAATCTAAGGATGTTACATTGTGTGTGTTGATAGGTGGATTGTAGCATCAATTTCATGTTTGTTCGGGTTGTAGTATACCCGATCCGAGTGTGAGGCGAGTCTTCTCACCATACTATGTAGGTTGCTAGACCGTCTCTTGTGGATTTTGTATGAAAGACAATGGGATGATCATGACACTTGTATGAAAGACCATAGGATGACCATGTCAATTATATGAAAGACCATGACACTCGTATAAAAGACTATAACAACGAAGACTACAACAGTAAGTGATTGTAAGATTGTGGGATGACCACATCATTTATACATTCGTATGTTATGTATGATATGTGGTATTTTGGGGAACTCACCAAGCTTTGTGCTTACGGTTTTATGTTTAAATATTTCAGGTACTTCTGGTTCCAAAGGGAAGGGTCCGACTTGATCTCATTGCATCCACTGGAGATATTTCCGCACCATTTATTATTGAATTTATACTGATGTTTTGAGAATACTTTTCATACTATGGCTTCTTTATGGATGAATGGATTAATGGTTTTTAGGTTGTTGAAAAAATAAAATTTTTACTTAGAAAATTTGGGAAGTTACATCGCAAGCCAACTACTATGACTTTCTCATCTTTTCTTCCTACTTACTTTATACTTGATACATATAGAATATGTATTTTCACACAATACTCTTTCCTTACATTAAGAAGTCACACACTCCCAATGTTTCTAAATCCTTATCTCTATATGGCATATAATCATCACCATTATCTACTGGGACTTTACACCTAGTCTTAGACTCTTCTTACGAGTCCAATTCTCTATGTTTCAAACTCCTTATTACACATAAGGTCTAATAATTGTTATTTTTCTAACAGTTACTCACAAGTTAGCTATCATAACATATACATATCTACATTATCTTACGAGTCCATCTTTTCTCATTATATGAGTTACACCTCCGCTTATTTCTCACTTGTAGGCACACTAACAAAGTGTCCTCTTATTTTACATACTCCACGTCTCTTACTTCCTCAAAAGTCTTGACCCGTTTCCTCTTGTTCATTAGATTTTAACACAACTACAATGAACACTTTCTACTATCTTTATATTTATCTTAAGTGTCCATCATGCCACTTGTTCCACCACTTTCTCTATGTCTGCAAATCTATTTCATTTATCTTATTCTAATATTTATCTGGTAAGTGCTATCTATATAACATCTAACCACATGGTGCAAACATCTACTATACATATCTCATACTTTGTCCAAATTGAATTGTACTTTCTTTTTGCATGGCTATTGCTCTCGATCAATGTCAAATCTACTATAGTACTCGTAAGTACACTTTTTTACTCTTTATCTCTTTCTAGACATACTACATCTATCTTTCTGTCCTTTCTTTTGGGTATACCAACCCTCTTACAATTTCTCTACCATTTCTATCCTTTTTTATTTCTATTCTTCTTATATTTGCTATATGCTCCTCTTTGGGACATATACTTTATGTAGTGTCCATCTATTAGGACACATATTCTCTGTTACATATTTCTTTCATGATACTACGGTATCATTATCTACACATACTCTTGGTATCTATTTAGCTAGAGAGCCAATTATTGTCCTTTTCACAAAATGATTTTTCTTTCTTTCATTTTTAACAATCTAGACTCAAGCCTTCAAGGCCGATCAATCTACTAATCTTTATATGTTCACGTTCTTTATTTTCACATGTCTTCAACCATGTACCTAATCTTCTAACATGGTTTATCACAAAAACCAGCTCATAATATTTACTTATCCTCTATCTTCCACAACTTGAGACTAAAATTAATATAACATATCTAAGAATTAAACCCGATCCTTTTAGATTTGAGTTTTGAAAAGAGCGTATTTGTTTTCTTAGGTGTTGTTTGTTTTTTGGAAAAAAACATTTTCAAACCTCTTACTGCTGCGTGGCGCAGCACACGCACAACACTTTTCATCTCGCAGTTGTTTGTTTTTTAGAAGTCTTCTGAGTTAAAAACCTCTGCGCAGGCTTTGTTTGGCGTAGCACTTGTACTGCCTCTTCTAACTTCTTCCAACCTCTTCTTCTTCTTTTTTTATTGCTGAAATTTTGATTATATGTTATTAAAATTTTATTTCACATTTTTTTTTCCGTTTTTTTTTTCGTTTATTCTTATTGAATTTATTTTTCATTTTTTTATATTCAATAATGATATTTTTCTTGATGAAATATCATTATTTTTTACTAAAATATCTTTATTTTTTTTGTTGAAATATCATTCTTTTTTACTGAAATATCATTAATTTTTACCGAAATGTTATACATTATTAAATTTTACGTATTAAAAAGCTATTTTCGGTTTATAAAATTAGTTTATTTTAATTTTTTAATATCTGCAGCAGTATGCAGATGTTAAAAAAACAAACACGCTTCTTATTATAGTCTGCAGCCGTTTGGTCTAGCTCTTCTACTGCAGAGGGTTGCAGAGGTGGTCCGCAAACTTCATGAAGTTTTGCTTCAGAAAATCAAACAGCACCTTACTCTTGGACCAATCTATGTTTGATCAAGCGAAAATAAGTCCTATAAACACAATTCGTAATATTTTCTGCCTATTATATAGTTTTGTCCATACAATAAATTAATTATTTATAATACTAAAATCGGAAAATCTTTAGTAAGTATCGGCTTTTAAACAAAATTAACACACTCCCGCGAAAAAGAGTCGACACAGGGAGAAGGTTGTGCCAAGCTGGCAATCCTAGCCTAGTCGATCCAACCAATAAGAACGAAGAAACTTCATGTATAAATATGTATTATGTACCCTTACTACTTCAGATCACTACCAGCTTTAAACATCTCTCGTTTTGTGTAAACTAGGGTTAGGGTTTATCACTTCAATAAAATGGCTCCCAAGTCAGATGCCAAAGGTGGAAGAGGAAAACCCAAGACCACAAAATCCGTGTCTCGATCTTCCAAGGCCGGTCTCCAGTTCCCCGTCGGTAGGATCGCCCGATTCCTCAAGGCCGGAAAGTACGCCGAACGTGTTGGCGCCGGAGCCCCTGTTTACCTCTCCGCCGTCCTCGAATACCTCGCCGCCGAGGTACTTTATCTCAATCTTGATCTATTTGCTTTTTATTTCGTTTATATAATCTTATATATCTGTTATCCTTCTATTTCGGCTTTTGATTTCGATACATCAGCGATGTGAAAAAAAATCTGTATTTTCTGATTTCGATGGTTATCAATTGCGAATTTGTATGCTTCTGGTTTGTTGAGGCTTCTCAGTTTCTTATAATCTTTTTTGATTTGTTGTTTTAGGTTTTGGAGTTGGCAGGGAATGCTGCAAGGGATAACAAAAAGAGCAGAATCGTTCCAAGACATATACAGTTAGCAGTGAGGAATGATGAAGAACTTAGCAAGTTGTTGGGGTCAGTGACGATTGCTAATGGTGGTGTTTTACCAAATATACATTCAACTTTGCTACCAAGTAAGGTTGGAAAGGATAAAGGTGAAATTGGTTCTGCTTCTCAAGAGTTCTAGATCTTATTGCATATGAAGTTTTTGTAAAAACGAAAAAGGCCTGTTTTGGGGTTTTACTTGCAATCGAATTATCAAAATTTTGGTACTATAATCATGTCTCCAACAATGATATGATAATCTTTAATGCGTACTTTTAGTTTATCATATTGGTATGTTTATCATGTTTGAAAATTTCAAGCAGCAGTTTTTATCATGACTTGTTTGAAACAAGAACTACAATACCTAGTAGTGGTTGATAATTAAAAATTTCAAACATTGGTTAATGCTAATGAACTACAAAAAATGGTTAATCAAAATTTCAAGCCTTTGTTTAGAGTAGACCTTTCATGTTGATGATAATGCATCTAAATTTCTAAGTACATATGACATATCAAACCCACTCCTATTTTTTCATCAAAAAAATGAAATTAATTGTTTTTCATTTCAAACCTTACTCTATTTTTCAACCTTATTTTTACATTAATGAGCTATATTTCTAGTATATTATATTTTTTTCCAACTTATAGATTGTCAATCATATTCTTTTTAATAATTTGGTTTTAACAAATATATATTTTATATTTTTTTTATTATAATATAAAAAGATTATATTTGTAACACTAAGTTATAAGTTTTTGTAAATATGTTAGCGTATTTAAATTTTCTTATGAATTTGATAAAATAAAATAAACTTTATATTTATGATTAATTAATATATTTTAATATATAATATAATATTATAATTATTAAATAACGTATGAGTGAAGAAATGAGATAAAAAATGAAAAATAAGAATGAGTTGAGACTTTAATAAAAATAATGATAACTTATTTAGAAGGATAATGATAACTTGGCAACAACGTTCTAAAACTATTAAAAAGAGCCATTTTAACTTTACTCGTATAAGAAAACACCTACAATTTATTTATACACGCCTACCATTCAAGATTTTCGATCAAAAAATACCAGTTAACTTTAGTGGTTGTATATAAATACAATAATTTGTTGGTTTCAAGTGTTTGTTACCGTTATGATTTATTTTTTCTTAAAAATCAAGTAGTTTCAGCATTTTTTTATTAATATTATTTTGTATCATTTTTCTTCAATTCAAAGTCATTTGTGGTGGCAAAATAATTTTACCCCAATTTTGTATAGAAGTTAAACTTTGTGTAAAATTTGGAAGAGGGATAAAAATATAGTGGTTATTGAATAACGTTTTTTTCTAAAATGTTTCATTTTTTTTTTTATAAAATAACTGATAATACTTCAAAGCCACTATTTACTATGAAACTTGGTGTGAGCCTATTACGATATTATTTTAGACTTTTTTTTTGATTTATGTAATGATATCTTTTTAGTGAGTTTTTATTGACCATCAATGTTTCAATTTTTCAATTTCAATTTGATTTAGTCAATATAAGAGTGAACATTTGGATCTAAGGATGTTAAAAACTCTCTTGAGATTCTCTTTTTGTATGGAAGTATTTTACTCTTGTTTAGTTTTGTGGTTGGGGGCTTTCCGTCTTGAATATCCTGTAGGGTTCCAAAATGATTATCCTATATTTAATTATTTTATTTATTAAAATAAATATTAAACTTAGAGTGACTATTATGTAATATATGTTATTTTTAAATAAATAATACAATATGTAAAGCTAAATAAAATAAACGAATTAAAAATACAATAAATAAGGTTGAACAGAGGTTTCAGGCCAAATGGGGTTAACAGAGGATTCGGGGGAAAAGGGGTGGGATGGGAGTTTGTCTTTAAATTCAGGGGTGGGATTGAGATTTGGGGGAGGGGAAACAGGGGAATCCGGGGTAGGGATTGGAATTAAGGGAAACGGGGAATTTTCGGGGTGGAGGCGGGGGAGGTTATTCTTGCCCCCGTTTAGTTCCGTTGACATCCCTATTTGGACAGGATCAGACCGACTTTTCGACTAAGTCGGTACTAGTTTTACAAAAATTGGTGGACCGTGGACATCTTTGGTGGACATCTCCGTACCTCTAAACATACCACTTTGTGATGGATTTAATAGGTTACAAAAAAATTGTGTTTGCGGAATTGCACTTAGCATATAAGGGCACATGCAACCTAAATGATCTATTTCATACACTTTGAATGCAAAATACAATGAACAAAAACTATCATAACTATAATTAAACCCTAGTATAATCAAAACAAAAGAATTAAGGTTACATACATTTGATTTGCTGTAGTAAACAAATCACTTCAATCCTTCCTTAGAGGAGTTTGGAAAGCTAGCACCAAAAGTTTGATGCCTCTAGTGATTCACACTAAAACCCTAGAACTAGAGGACAATTGAGAAATTATGAATAGAGGAAAATTTCGTTCCTAAGGCTAATAGGAAGTGCATGAACAAAATTAGGGGCACAAGGGGTCTTATTTACAGTTTAGATAACTTAGGGACCAAACAAGATTTGAATGAATTTAATCCCAATCCAAATCATTTCCTTATATGCATCCAAGAGGCTTATGGAAACCCCAAAGAGGCTCCCAAAACCATCTAACTTTGGATGGTTCTAAAGTTGCTTCTTTTGTTTAACTATTGAAAAATTACAGTTCACCCCTTGCACCTTTAATTAACTCATATTAATCTAAAATTAATTCCATATTAATTCTGATTAATAATTAATTAATTCTAATTGATTAACCTTATAAATTAACAAATTAATTGTTTAACTATTGATCCCATATTAATTTATTAATCACATAATAAATTAATAAATCAACTATCTATTTCCAATTAATATATTAGTCATATAATATATTAACAAATCATTTCCTCATAATTTCCAATTAGATTACTAATCATATAATAATCTAATAAATCATCATCTATCTATAAATATCATTCTAATTGAGTTCTAGTTATGAAGACAACCCAAAAAGGACTTTGCTTCTAGTTACAAAAATATATCAATATAGTTATTGACTTAGACACCTTAATCCAATAGTCTCCCACTTGGATAAGTTTGTAACTATCATTGCAAATATAGACCTTGAACTAAACAACAAAGAGTGTTTTCTAAACCACTGCAAAAATCTGATTCAAATCAAACGTTAGCACTAAGATAAGTGATAAACTATTCTTTATTTCTACAATATATCGTATGAATTGCGTTTTGAATTAAATGATCAACCTCATGTTCATTTATTTGTTTCCCGATTTCCGGATTTATGATCAATACGCTTGGTTTTATAGATCAACTCAAATAACCGGGTGGCCCACATATATCAATTTTCCTTATTCAGGAAAAAGGAGCTAATTACATTGACTATATAGTCTAAAAATTTACATATCAAATCAAACATGGAATAAACCTTTATGACATCCAATTACGAGATGCGTTTGAGCAAACCAATGCACAACTGATCTGTAAACTATGAACTATATATCTTTGTTTTAAGAATAGAAGATATTATCGTCTTAGTATTACTTGTGATTAAAATCCATGAATAAATCTCTAAGTGTGGGTTTATCAAATACTTCAAATTTATATTTTCAAAGTACACATGTATATTGTAGCGATTCCAATTGCAATGTCTTAAGCTCAATAGACAATCTACAATCAACTCATGACAGTCTTAATTCACTATTTACTTCCAAAAGTATGAATGACTATGAAATTTTGAAGAATATTAAAATCACATAGGGAAGTAAAACATGCAAAGTGAAACACAATAATAAATTAATTGACTATGGTATCATACCTATTGATCATAAATAAATCCATATTATTTAATCACCATACAAATTATGAATTTATTCATTGTATAATGTTTCGAGTAATCAACTAACTACTTGAATTAGATAACATCAGTCATGCCATGTTATGAACATGCATACTATGCCTCTCAATGGTCCTTCCATTATGGACATATCGACTAGACATTACTCCAATGATCCCCATTTCTCAATTCCAAATTCTTGTCCTTATTTAAGATGTAGTGGAATTTCATCTTCACATGTATTGTCTTTATGTGATGTCAAGGTTCTAAAGTCATAGAGATCGAGCCTTCGATATTACAGAATGTTCCACTGGAACTTGTTACTTGAAACAATTCCATGGTTATGAAGTCTCAAATTCAAGATACGTACTCTCCTTGAATACTTCTTTGTATTAAAGTTTCCAACTCACTTGTAGATTGTGTAGACATCTCCCATTATGAAAACATTTCCATATTCCCGAACATTCCGAACAAGAATCATCTCAATCCAGAACATGTTGCTAGGGTCCATCCTAACAATACTTTCAACTGTCCACAAGTACCAAATTCTTCAGTAAAACCTTAGAACGTTCTTGGTAGTTGTTTGATAAATTCAGTTACATGCAATTCTAATGCTTTTCCCACAATGATAAATGAATTAGAACAATCAAATATTATAACATATGTAATCGATCCTATATCCAAAACATATGTGACTCGACTTATTATTACAAGGATCCAATATTCGTTCAGCTCCCCACTATAATATTTCCATATATAAAATCTCCAATGTTGAAACATTTCAACATGCTATTCATAAATGTCTTTGACTAAGTTCTATTAAACTATATATAATCTGAACCTTTGGATTTGTAACGAAGTAGCCCTTATGCCTATTATAGCAAAAAAATTCCCAACTTTTGCAACTTGCAAATTAGAGACATTTTTCCATATGGATAGTAATGTCAACATGAAATACCAAGCACAACAATTATTCTCCCACTAAGAAATCAACATGAGTTCTAGAAATTAATACCTTTTGACTTTCTCATGGAAGTGCAGATTCCTATTTTGCGATTGCTTCGTTAAGCCTCTAATTAGGCTTCTGAAGCTTATGCACTTTATTTGGATAATATATGTGTTCAAACCTTTTCAAGATGTGATAAACATATCTCCTGAAAGTATAAACGATTCATTGCCACTCTTCACAATTTGAAATATGAAGAGGGATGTCAAAATCATATAACTTGAGAATGCAATTAATACAAGCAATATCCATATTGATCTTTATCAAATCCTTAAAATATACTAGTTAAAGTGTTTCCTCATAACCTTTTTCATGATCTAGATCAAAACCTTTTGCTACTTAGATTTAAAGGTGCATATGTTCCCATCCATGTGGATCTATCATTTCCAACCTACAGTCATAAGACAAAGTTTAGGACAAACAAAAATTAAAATCAGTTTTCCTTCATAGAGTGAACTTCGCTATTAAACTTCTTGCTTTCTGGAAGCACAAGATCCCACCAATGCTTCCAATTTGTTAGCAGATCAATCGTATT